GGATTGATTGGGAGACCCTCTCGGCGCCAATCTTGTCTCAATAAAGTGAGTACTCTTAATTTTAAAAGTTTGATTAAGGGAGGAAAACCTGATGGTTCAACATTATCTCCTTAGACCAACTGATGAACTTGAAATAAAATTGAAAACCTTGCCCCTCTTTGGGCTGTAGTGGTACAGGAAAAATAAATTAGTATGGGTACGTGACGACAAGGAAAAATGTCAATCAAATCAAGAAAGAAATTTTATATTATAAATTTAATTTATTTTATATTATTCACTTGTGTTTACCGTGGCTTTTACCAGTTCATTAAAACGGCCAAGCAATATAATTTAACAGTACGGAGTTCATAAGAGCAGAAATTACATCAGAATCATGACACCATGCATCATTTTGAATAGGAGCCATAGAAATAAATGGTAAGGTCATATATTTGGTACGCTTGGCAGAAGAATGATGGGAAGAATATAATATTCTTTTCTGCTCTTGTGATGCTTATATTACGACAGCTCATTGGGTGTTATGAATTACGAGGAAGGCCTAAATAAGGAAGGCTGAAATTAAGGAGGGTATCAGCTTGGTAACTCTCTACCCTAAATATTTAAAGAGGATAACAGTTAATAACATGCAATCAATAGAGAAAAAAAATTAAAAATTTTCACGATTGGAAAATATCTACATTTCATTTATAAAAATTCGCAAATAAAAATAACAAAACCACTACAATGTTCTAAATTACATAATTATATACTTTGCAATAACTTCATTGTTTTAAAAAAATCACTAAACTATCGGTACAATCATACAGCCAAGATATTACAACATTTTAATAGTTCAATGAAGGTAAATACAAATTCTATAAAACAAAATTTTTACTTAGCATCGTTAGGTATTAAAAGAATAAAAGTTAAAGAAATAGAATAAAAGTTTCCATCCAAAATAGTTGACTATTGACTCGTAATATTTTAATAACCTCAGTGACCAACGAAAAGTTTCAAATATGTATGATTGCTATTATTTATTTAATGAAATTTAAAACTGTATAAAAAAAAATGCACACATTAGAAATAATGAGATGAAGAGATACTGCCCAGTGGTACCATTCCCATTTAATTATAGGTAAGAAGATCACGAGACCATCTTCTTTTCAGTCGCCTAGGGGGATTATCAGGAATCGAGGAAGAAGAAAGGATAGATATCGGGTGTAAGATTGTAAAACTAAAAATTAAAAAAGTGATGAGAATAAAACGGGTCATTAAAAAACCATAAAAAACAAACAAATTTTACTCAAGAAAGAAGGACGATAGGAATAAGCATGACTGAAAAAGAAGGAAACGGGAGCCATTAAAAACCTAACTAACGACCATGATAACTAATTACAGTCAAATCTCAATAAAATAAATATATATTTAGCAACTTAAGATTAATTAACTCAAGATTAACTTCATTCACATTTTATTGTCTCTAAAATTTAAAATGAAAATAGAAAATAAAAAGACAGTTAAATCACTTATTTAAGTTATATTTTACTTTTCTATTTCATTATTAATGCTTTGATATTTTAGTGTTAAGAAGTAAAAGTATTGTAAAGTACATGAATGTACAACATATTTGCATAACCATTGAAACATTAATTAGGTGATTCTCCTTTTATAGGTTATTTTTAGTCTGCTAAATTTTCTTTAATTAGTTAAATATAATCTAATCTCTTTCAAAGATATAGAATGAAATGATTTGTCTTCATAATTAAATTTAAAAATATATATATATATATTGAATATATATTTCTCATAGTTATCAGTAATAAAAAAATCTTAAATATAGGAGAATGTGGGAGAAATATTTTCGCAGGTATAAAAGAAATTTTTGAAAATTATAATAATAATGTAGATAGGCAAGTTGGCCTGTGGGAATAATTTGTATATTATATTTGTCAATGAACGATTGACGATATAATATGGAAATAAGTAAGGGAATCGTATTATTAGGGTGATGAATAAGTTTTCATTTAAAATAACGGGCCAAGCTGTATGTACTAATTTCCATCAACCGTATATTTGTTAAAAATCATCTCCCTGAATATTGCAGTTTTTAGTTATAAGGATCCTTATGTTGTATAACAGAGCTCTGCTGAATAGTTTACACCGAAAATAAAACTAAAAAAATAAATAAATTATATCATCCAAGGTGCCCAAGGGACCTCACAATTATTTTCTTTCCTTTACGTAAATATTATTATTATTATTTTTTTTTTTTGATAAATGAAATATATATTTATACAATTATTTTTATTATCCTAATAATTTATCATAGATCATGAAAAACAAGAAATAAAAGCTTTGCAGCAGTTGATTGTAGTCATTTTTACTGAAAACAGGTGTACTTTTAGGAGATGGATAGAAAATCACGTAATTTCCTTACACAACTTGAGGTGAATCTTAAGTTTTTGCCCAGTAAATCTCAATTTCATTATTATAAACTTAAACCATACCAAACAAGGTAGTTTTTATAAAAATGGGTTAACTGTAATATAGTTGGATGATGATAAAAAAAATCCCGAATAATTTATGATTTAAAAAAAAAAAAGAAGTTAACTTAGTTTAGTCGCGCAAATGTCCTCTTTAAATGGTTTTAATAATGACAAAAATCGAATTAAAGTAAATGTTGTCTAGTTTACAGTGAAGTTATTGTTAATTACTCAAATTAAATATTTCTTTAGTTATCGCTTCCTATTCAACAAAAAAACACGATTCTGTTAAAAAAACACAAAACAAATTGGATTTCCAACTTTTCTTCTCAAAAATTGGGGAATTTTTTATGTAAACTTTTTTGTAGCGCTTGAAGTTAGCTATCGCTCCTATCAAAATTTCCCTCAACTTACGAGGAACTCTGTGTAAATAAAGAAACTATATGAATAGGGAAATAAATAGAAGAAAAAGAAATGGACCGAAATTAATTACATAAAGAATTAATTATACAAAAAATATAAAAGTAAATAAACGTATGAAAATATAAAGAAAATGAATAAAGGAGAAAAATCTATATTAATAAAAAAGTAAATATCCGTTTGTTCAAAATCGCAAATCTCTGAGACTTCTTCACCGATAGCTTTGTAATATTCACATAACGTTTCTATCGTATTCAGGAGTGTTTTAATATACATTTAATCACCCTCCGGTCTTTCCTTTCGGAATGACGGCTCCAAAACCTGTGTCTATATAGACTGTAGCGCTTAAACGGCTTTAATAATTTTTATTAAATTTGGCTAAAGTCTGCTCCTTGAAGCCCTTTTAATTTATTTGTGTAACATCCTTCCCCGAAAAGAATATGCAAAAAAAAGTTACGATAGGTTCAAATCTATATTTGCAAATGACTCAAAAAGTAAGCAATCATCGTTTCATTATACCCATCATTATTTGAAACCTCCCTTGAATATCTGGAAATAAAAAAAAAAAATCACTAAAATCGGACGATTTGGTGCAGAGATATAATGCTTTAAACGTTTAGTAATTTTTCTTGGGAGATTTAGAGACCGATTGCTTCTTATTTATTGCATTACATTATTGCTTCTTATTTATTACATTTATATGTAGTGAATTCTAGAATTAGAAAACAATACAATCTCTATATTTACGAGTATACAAAGAATGTAACAACAAAGAATATCGCCTATTCACAAATATTTACTAGCGGATCCAGGATTATTTTTTGGGGGAGGGCTTCAGTCTGAAAGCTTTATTTTTTCATAAAAATAACGATAATTACTTTGGATAAAAGAAATAAACTAACTGCCAACATGAAATTGTTTTTAATTGATTCCTAAAGTCCTTTTACATGTGATCACGTGAACAATAATTCTTGAAGAGATAATTTTTTTTCGTAAAAAAAGTTGCGATGGGTTCAAAACTATATTTGTGAATAACTCGAAAAGTACACAATTTTTATTTCATTATACCCATCATTATTTGAAAGCATCCTTGAGTCCCTGCAAATAAAAAAAAAAAAACGCACTAAAAGCGAACGATCAGGTGCAGAGATATAATACTTTAAACATTTAGTAATTTTTCTTGGGAGATTTAGAGACCGATTGCTTCATATATTGACATTTATATGTAGCGAATTCCAGAATTAGAAAACCAGACAATCTCTATATTTACGAGTATACGGGGTGGCCGAATGGGCTAACGCGTTGTGCACAGCACCACCGTTGCCCGGCAACCTGTTTTATGATTAAATGATACAAAAATAGTCATGAGTTCGCGTCCCGGTGACAAGGCTTCTTTTAGAGCCCCGCCCACACCCCCTGGCCCGGGAAAACCCCGTATAGCCTTAACGGCGAGGAAGGGGAGGACCCAAAAAAAAAAAAGGTATACAAAGAATGGAATAACAAAGAATACCGCATATTAACAAATATTGTTACTTAAAATATATTAGAAACATCTAATATCATTTATACTTATTTTTTTATTTAATCAGAATGAGCCACAGCAACGCGTGGCCGGGGTAAAGCTAGTACTGAATAAAATAAAAAACATTATTATTTTATCTCTTTTATTAAATGTACGATCGTAAAAAAATTATATTATTTTATCAGATCTACAATATTACTGTTGCCCAATGCTATCGATATGCTTTCCCATATCTCCTTATGGTTTAATTTATGAGTCTAGTTTACCGCAAAGTAATTATTAATTACTTAATTTAAATATTAATTTATACTTATCGCTTCTTATTCAACAAGAACGCGATTTACTTTTTAAAAAACACAAATTTAGATTACCTAGTTTCCTGAAGAAAATGAGATTATGGTTTATATGAAATTTTTTGTAACTCTTGATGTTTGCTATCTCTTTTAATATTCATCTTTATTTTCGGGACTTGAAATTATGACATTCTCATTATTTTCCATCACATATTTTGGAAATAATGATTATCCTGCAGAGAGATACGACGGAAGGAGATAAGAAGAGGATCGAGGTTTTGTACGGCAGCGGTGGTGGCGGTCCGGAGCGTCTAGACTCAGAGGACGCCTGCTCAGAGCTGGCCCGAGGCCCGGCCAATCGATGCCTCAGTCAGCGGCTGTCTCTGCCAAGAACACCCCGCTAAGGTAACGCTTCTCTATAACATCACCATTCTCCCATCACCGTTCTTCATAGTACTATTTACTTTGCTTTACTTAATAGTAAGTTCTGTTCAATATGAGAGTCGTGGCATGCCATAGTTCACAGCAAATCGAAAAGCCTGTCTACAGTTTGTGTGGCCATTTGAAGCGGGAAATCGGTGTAGCTTATAAAAAATTGAAGAGATTCAGGAGATCTATTTGATGCGGTGACCAAAGCGAAAAAACCCAAAGACATCCATATGTGCTCGTTTTAGATGAAAATTTTCTAATATTATACCGGCCGAAACGTAGCTATGAAAATAAAAATAAATATGGTGAAAAAGTAAACAGAGCCTTATTTTATGACCCAAAGATATATATTTTTTAATGCACGCTATATAGTGGTTTAAATCAAAGAATTATTTAATCAAAATTACAATAATATTTAGAATATATAATACATATTTACATATACGTATATGATTTCATAGACTGAATCAAAAACATGCTTCCTTCCTAATTTTAATTTCTGATAGATATACTCTCCTATTAAGAACCCTTTAATTTGTTTATATTATCATTTAATCAAATTCCCGTCTTGAAGATCGTCGCGTATAAAAAAAATTATGTAATACAAACAGGAAAGTCCGAGTTCGTGATGAATGCTTTTCAGCTTTTAAACAATGCCATTTCCGGGAAAACAAGGCTTTATTTACAAGCTTATTTAGCAATATATATAGCATTATATTTTTTTCTTACACTTACACACACATTTTTTATTTATTTTTTTAGTATTACAACAATCTGTCACCTGGACATTAGTTATAGAGAGGCAGGATAATGTTCACACTATATGTACAGAAAAATACAAGATAAATAGAAGCAAAATAACAATAAATAATAATCAAAAAGTATATACAATAAACGAAATAAAATAACTAAAAAATAACACACAGATTAGATGTATATGAAAGTTAACCACATAAAATTTAAAAAAATTAAAACTTAGAATTAAACATTTAAAATATTTAGAAATCTTGTTTATAAAAACACCACCCATGGTATAGTATTTATATGTTTATAAACTATTTAATAAAAAAGACTGCGAAGAAGTTATAACGTGGTTTATTAACACACGGGCGTTATTACAAGGAATATCTTGAATTTAAATATTTTAAAGCCCATTAGAGATCAAGAAAAAATAAACTAAAATAGATAATGGTTAAAGTAAATATTTAAAGATTCATTTATCCGATAACTACCTGTAGAATACCCTAGGTTATGGAAGAAGCGCTCTTGAATTTTATACCACTATCAGAAGAACCCTTAACTGAACCAACATTAAATAACTTAGTCATATCTGATGAGCTCTTAAAAAAATACAGTATCATTTCCATGTGTTAAATGAGTCTCGACTGTCACATAATGCCATAATTTTAATGCAATATGTTCTGGCATGATAGTTTATTTTTTAACTATATATAATTTTTCAAAACTCTTTTTATGAAATTAACTCAATTTGCAGTTAAGATACTTGGTGATGGTTGGTTATTGCTTTCTCAACCGTACTTTTCCGATATTTCATTTTATGTAATGTACTCACAAATTGGTTATTATTTGAAACAATTCTTCAATGTTCGTATGACTCCTTCCTTTGGTAATAAGAAAAAAAAATATCAGCTTTCATTTATCAAGTTACTGACTGCAACCGTGTCTTAAGATAGAATTAAACATCTAAAAATCTTTAAATGTAAAATAAATGTGATATAATGAATGCTGTGGTTTTCAAAAATTCAGGAAACATATGGCTATTTTGAAACCTTTCTAATAAAAAAGCATTTAAATGAGTTATTTTTCTAGCTATTTTATTTTTTCAATATAGCCTAAATAGAATTACATCATAAAAAATAAATAAATAAAATAATTGAAATATTAAATGTTAACTATTGTACTGAAATGATATAAATGTTGGATGCTTCAAACTATTCACTTGAGGAGGCTTATCATTTGTACAACATGAACGATTATGTAACATGGAAGGATAAAAAAAAAAAATAACTTTATCATAAAGTTTGTGAATGTGAACTATCAACTTCATTTTATGTTTGAGTGTGTTCATATCTAACTATAATTATTGACCAAGTGACAGATTATTATATTTATGAACAATTAAAAAAATACAGAATTGTCAAGTTTAGAAACATCAAGAAAATGCAACTAGGCTCATTCTATGAAAACTGCATGCCGATAAATAGTAACCATTTTATTTTTAGGATATTAAGTAGATAATAAAATATAATTGCTATTTTTAAAATTATAGATCATTCCATTGAGCACTGATTCAATGGTAAATTAACACTTATAGACAACTTCTCCTTTCTTGTTTTCCGAATACACTGATGGAATATGAGGGAAACCGAAAGGGGTTGGTTTTTTTTCTTTCGTTGATACAGTCGTAAGGGTGGTTTGGTTTTTTTTTTTTTTTCAGACCTACTTTATTCTCGATCAGTAGGTAGCGATTTTAGTTTTATTTGGGTTGTTTACAGGATATTCCCGAAGTAGAGAGAAATTTTTATAGGAGTGATATCTGACCTCAAGGACTTCAAAAAAGTTGATATAAGTAATGGACCAATATACTAAGCAGAAAAATAGGAAATAGAAGTTTAGTGGTTTCTTAAGTAAGTCATCCTTTTTGATGAATAGAAAGCGATAACTGAAGAAATATTTAATTTAAGTAATTAACAATTATTTTAATGTAAACTAGATAAAATTTTCTTCGAATGAAAATATAATTTATTTTTGTTAAAACCATTTAAAGAGGACTTTTGAGCGGATAAACTTGACAAAGTTCTGATTTTTAAAAAATCATAAATTATTGGCGATTTTTTTGTTAAAATTATTCAACTATACTACAGACACTCCACTTTAAAAAAAAAACTTCTAAGTTTAATAAGCGTTAAGTTAACACTTATTAAATTGAGGTTTATTAGGCGAATTCTCGATATTCTCCTCAAGTTGTGTAAAGAAATGATGTCAACTTCTATCCCGTCTCCTAATTGTGCTCGTGTTTACAGCAAATATGAACACACAATTAACTGTCGCGAAGATTTAATTAATATGGACTTAAAGCTTATTAAACGAAAAAGTTTTCTTAAAAATGGGTTATCTGTATAATTAGATAATGATAAAAATAAATCGCCAATAATTTATGTTTTTTTTTTTTAAACCAAATTTAGCCAAGTTTTGCCACTCAAAAGGTCTATTTAAATGTTTTTAACAATGACAAGCTCTGTTTTAATTTAAAAAGAAATTAATCTAGTTTACAGAAAAACAATTTTTAATTACTTGAATTAAATATTTCTCCAGTTATCGGTTCCTATTCATCAAAAAGTATGACTTACTTAAAAAAACACTAAATTTGAATTTCCTACTTTTTTACTGAGAATTGGCCCTTTGTTTATATGGACTTTTTTGTAGCTCTTGGGGTTTGTTATTTCTCCTACGAAAATTTCTCTCTACTTACGGAACACCTTGTATATTACTAGACTAAGTGTTTTTTTTTAATTAATATTTATTGATATGAGTTAATTAAATTTAAATGATTATAATGGTGTAGAGATGGTTGGCAGTGATATAATATGAGAAAGAATTGGTCGGGGGGGTGCGGTTTTGACCGAAACATCGGCATAACGATTAAAATACTACTGCAAAAATTTAGTATTTATTTGAAATACTAAATTTTTACAGTAGTATTTTAATCGTTATGCCGATGTTTCGGTCTATCGCAGTCCATCAACTGCTACCTGCAGTGCCCTAGACCATTCCCTAATGAAGACCTACAAAGTGGGTCGAAACGTCTGCGTAACTATTAAAATACTGTTGTTAAAATTTAGTATTTATTTGACCGCACCCCCCGACTCCTCCTCTTAAATAATTATAATTTTGATTTCAGTAATTTCTTTCATTCTTAATGAGATTCTTAAATTTAAAAAAAAATATTGCCAAAGTATTAGTCCATCTTTTTTATTCAATTATTAACATCCTTCTTAAACGGGAATGGCTTCAACTTTTTTTATATTAAAAAAATCTTAGAAGTAGAGCCTTTTATGATTAAATTAATTAATTTAATGAGTTGTGCTACAAACCCATTTGCTTTCAACTTCAATCGTAAGATAATTTGATCTCCTTTTTGAGAAAAAAGATGGCCCACAAAAATATTGGGCCGTTTAGCATATGTAACATCGTTATTGTGACATGTTTGGGATTGTGGTCAAGCCAAACGATCCAATATTTGTATGAACCACCTTTTTTCTCGATTTATTGATCAAATCATGACACGATTCATGTGGAAAGCAAGTGAGCGTTCATGGGTTTTTAGTATATCATTGAATTGACAGACTTTACTGATCTTGAGAATTTTTTTAAATAAAAAAGTTGTCGAATGCGACATGATGATGCCATTCACGGAATTTTAGAAGGATGTTAATATAATAATTTGATATACCGCGGATGATATAATATATAATCCTCCCATTAGCTGCCTGAATCTTTATCAATAATTACATATTAGTTGCTATGAAGAATCTGATTCAAAGTATTAACTAAGTATTTGATGGTGGAAGCTGAAGAAGAGAGGCATTTATAAAAAAATAACCATTTTAAAAATTATAAGAATTTATATGACTTGGAATATCGATAAATGATCTCTTCTATTTTTAAAATGTTTTATTTGGTATGAAATTTAGAATCGTGCCATTAAATAACATCAGTACATGACTCCGCTTACATAAATATGACTAAACAGAAAAGTTAAAAACAATGAGTAAGGTACTATTCATCTTCTTGGAAATTAAGACTATAAGTCAAAAACTGCATTATTTGTTATTTAGATTGACTTCTATTATGTCCGAATATCATCTTTCATGGATCAGAATCGTTAAAAAGATATACATTTTCATTTATTAATACATTCATTTTCGATTTTTTTTATAGTTATTTAAATTTTA